CTTACATTCGCCAGTAGGTTGGGCTAATACGGCGATTTTTAAAATTTCGTATCTCGATAACTATTCGTCCAAGCGCAAAATAGTACAATACTTTTCTGTTTGTCTTAGTCCCCTCTACCTTCCCATGACCGGAAGTCAAAGTCTTGCGTAGCACCCTGTATATATATAAGACTAGCTTCTCTTCTATAATTAGCTTTATTTTTTTATACACGTCTCTCAATAAACACAAAGTAACAGTAACATAACTGTTAGTTGATTCCACTCAACAATAAGTTGGGAAATTACAACTAACAGTTATGTTACTGTTGCTGTGTGTTTGCTGGGAACAGTGAACTCTATACATACTGGAATGAGTGATCTATTGTTCTGGCTGTTGCCGAGAGAGAGGTGCGTTTGGGTGAATCCTTGGCTGCGTTCGGGGAGACGCTATTAGCGCTGAAAACGTCAGTCTATCTTCGTCACTCACTGTACGTCGAACAAAGATAGAAGACGCTTTTAGCGCTGAAAGCGCGCTCCCCGAACGCACCTCTTGTCTCCTTCTAGTACTACCTGATTGGATAGTCGCACATAAATGACGAGAAGAAGGGCGTCATTTATATGCGATTATCCAATCAGGTAGTACTAGAAGGAGACAAGGATTCACCCAACGCACCTCTCTCTCGGCAACAGCCAGAACTAGAGATCACTCATTCCAGTATGTATAGAGTTCACTGGCTGGGAATGTTGGGCTTACTGTCAATATGTCACCTAACCTAACCCAAGAAGGAGGGCTCTCGACCCACACGTACGTTACGATGTACTTGTGAGTGTGCGATCCGCTCGAATAATGTTCAGAGGATTGTTGAGCGTATCAAAAACGGCGGATCGTCCGTGATTGGTCGACGAGTTGATACGCCCGATACGCGCGTATCGCGATACGCGCCATGGGACGGCACCCTCACTGGAACGCGCGCTAGAGCCGAGCCGTGTGTACCGAGAGAGAGCATCGTCGAGTGGCGTTTGTCATTGGCCTTGTTTACACCGATCGTTTGATACGCGTATGAGGTACTATATTCGTACTAAATTGATTTAGTCCAGCGGTGTAAACGATAGCGTACTGAACTGGTACGATACGCTTGCAAAAGCAGTATCGTACCAATTTAGTATGCGTATCAAGTAATTTTGTGTCGGTGTAAACCGTAGCGCATTAAATAATAATTATCGAAGGAACGTTACGGTTAGGTGAGATGAGGTTTTCTTCGAAAATCTTGACTTATTTTTAAAAGTCCGACTAAGCTTGTAAATAAACAACTGATAATATTTTCCGAATCCATCGCAATCTGAGGATCACCGATTTTCCAACCAAATTAAATATAATACGTTTCTGTATCAAACCTAACCTTAATGTACTTTTTTGCACACTTAATACACATGGTGTAAACGCAGTCGAATTTAACATTTGGTACTCATCATTTTGGTTCACGTATCAAATAATTTTACGGTGTAAACAAAGCCATTGTCTGGCTTATAGGGTGGTCGAGAGTGGGGACGGAAAGGTACAGTCCGATCGAGAAATTAGCTCGTTGTCAGAGGTTACACGATCTCGCGCAGTTGTGCTGCGCTTCGAGATAACTTTTGGTTCGAACTGTACTAGACAATGACAGACACCACTCGACGATGCTCTCTCTCGGTACACACGGCTCGGCTCTAGCGCGCGTTCCAGTTAGTATATATTTCAGTGGCCTGAGCTGACCGCCATATTGGCGTCATTTCGAGCACGCTTTAAGCCTATCACACAATATATAGGAAAGCACAGGCAATAGGAATAGGAAATAGGAATAGGGAATAGAAATCTATGTAATGCCAAGACACAATGACTGCTTTTCCACCGAGGGTCAGAGTCGAGCTAGAGTCGGGTCAGAGTCGGGTTGGGGTGAGCGTTTTTGCGGTGGAAACATTGGGGTTAGGTGTTTCCACCGCAAAAACGCTCACCCCAACCCGACTCTGGGGAGCGATCGCGTGCACGATCGAATTCGATCGGTCGACTTCTCATACGTCTCTACTCTACAGGTTTCATGGTTCATGCTTATTTATTATAGGATAGTTTCCCTCAGACCATAGATTGATCATGTACGAAGAGTGGTATCGGATGGCATATTCCTTCTCGAATTCGAATTCGATCGGTGCACGCGATCGCTCCCCTGACCCGACTCTAGCCCGACTCTGACCCTCGGTGGAACAGCAGTCAATGATTCGTTGGCAATAGGCGTGCTGTCCAATCATCTGCATTTTAAAACCACGTGTCTGTCCCAGTCTCCACTGTGATTGGTCAGGTAGGTCAGGCACAGGGAATAGGGAACAGAAATCCAACGCGTCGGATATTCTGTTCCTATTGCCTATTCCATATTCCATTGTGCGTCGATGACGGTTTCTGGTAAGTTGGAATTTAGTTATTTCTGTTGCCTGTGTTATTCCCTATTCCTATTGCCTGTGCTTTCCTATTGTGTGAAGCCTATGACACAATGTCAGGCAACAGGCAACAGGAACAGGGAATAGAATTTCTGACGCGTTGGATTGGTTGGAAGAAAATTTTCGACGAATCCAACGCGTCAAAAATTCTATTCCCTGTTCCTATTGCCTGTTGCCTGGCATTGTGTGATAGGCTTGATAGGCTTTATTCCACGAGTGTCCCGACCTGTGTATAAGGCTGGTATTACATTCGTCGTACGACAAAGTTTTTAAGCGTATTGATTGGCTGAAGGATAGTAAAATTCTCGAGTATCTAGAAACTTACTATTCAGCGGCCAATCGACACGCTTGAAAAATTTGTCGTACGACAAATGTAATAGTACCCTTAAGCTGCCTTTTCACCTTGCGTCTGGAAGCCAGATCCGTTTGGCCGGTTACCCCCACTCCGTGATACGTTTTCGTTTTGATCACAACTGCATATAGTTGTGACTTATTATTAGTGCTTGCATAAATAATTGTGTACTGCGCTCGATCAAGAAAAAATACTATTGGGGACATACTTCTTTTTTTTCGTACAGCATTGCAATAGGTTATGTACGCAAATGTGCCATAGACGCATACTTTTTCAGCAATTCGGCAATCAGTAAATAATTAATGAATTGATATTAATAATAAAGATATAAACTTCCCTCATTGCCGTTGCCAAATGAACTCAATTTTATTTTCGTGTTGTCACTTTGTCACGTAGCGAATTTCAGCTAGAGTTCGACCATTCCGAACTTCTGGCGTCCAAACGCCAGGAGCAAGCCAGGCGGAGAATCTGCGCTCGGAGTGGGGGTAACCGGCCAAACGGATCTGGCTTCCAGACGCAAGGTGAAAAGGCAGCTTTAAGGTGCCTTTTCATACGCAGCATGCAGCAGCAGCAAATTAGTCACGTGATCCAAATTCACTAAAGCATATTTGCTGCTCATGAAAAAGGAATAGCTGCAGCAGCACTGGCCGGCTAGATCGCGTGTCTGCTGCTTTGCTGTTCGTTCAATTGAACTTCACAGCGATGAAGCAAAATATGGTGAAATTTATTTTGCAGCATCTAGTAACAATTCTTCAACCAATGGTACCTTTAAGGTACCTTTAAGGTACCATTTCATGCGCAGCATACTGCCGCAGCAACTCGCTGCTATTGGTTGAAGAATTGTTACTAGATGCTGCAAAATAAATTTCACCATATTTTGCTTCATCGCTGTGAAGTTCAATTGAACCTTTGACTATAGAAACCTGGACTGCTAGTTACGAAATTTAAAGTCACTAGATTATAAAGTACCGCAATTCATAAGATACATGGGAGTCAAAATGGCGGCGAAAAGTGTAGATAGTGTATAGGTCGTGTAAGTCATTTGCGCTTAAAGTGCAGCGAAGCCTTTCCAACTGTACCATCTGTGTAGCGCGTAGTGCATAGGCGATTGAAATTGTAACGTCCCAAATCCTAACCTCTAATGTTGAATTCGTCACGCGAGGAGTATAACCGTAGCAGCATTGATTATCTTATATTTTCCAACCGGTTTTACACAAAGACCGTGTTCTTGTCTAACCTTCTATTGTACGTAAAAGTGACTTTAATTGTACGGAATCTTGCAAAATGCCAGGTTGCTGTGTAAACAATTGTAATAATCGCAGTGAAAGAGGGTTCAGATTATTTCGAGTACCAAACGGAAAGAATACTGAGAAAAGACAAGAATGGCTTAAATTAATAGGAAGAAACACATTGCCAGAAAGGGCTGATATCTGTGAGGTATAATTATATAATTAATGAATTATAATATTCTTGAATTATGTATTCTTTGTACAAATTACAATAATTATTAAATTAATTTTACAGGTGCATTTCAGTGAAGATCAATTCGAGAAGAATAGAGCAGATGGAAAAAAATTGCTTCGTCCATTTGCCAAACCCAATTTTAAGCTTGCAGTATCTTATTCTCGAATAGATGTGTACAAAGAAAATATTAATTTTTTGCGAGATTTTATGGAAATTGTCCGAGGAATTACGGTCGGAAACGGAGCATGGAAACCATTTCAAAGCGGATTATTACTTTGCACACAAACTGCTTTAGATGTACAAGCTGAATATTTAGAAAAACATAATTTTCAGTTTTTATTGTTAGGAAGATGTACACAAGATGCATTGGAAAATCTATTTTCGCAAATTCGAAGTAGAAAATCTGTACCCGACGCACGTAAGTTTAAACAGACGTTTAGATTAATTTGTTTGTCACAATTCCAAGCCAATATAAATCGAGGAAATTATTCTGTTAGTAACTCTCAAGACCTTATTAATTATTGCGACAAAATTAAGCACTTTGATTCCAAAAATACTTCCATAGAAGAGAGAAGCCTTCAGAACAATGAAGACTTATGGGATGTAAATATTTATCAATCATTACTTGGAGACGAATCCGATTTAAATGATACAATACAAGCTGCGTTGTATCATTTAATAGGTGCTTTGCTATTTAAAATTAAAAAAACTTTCTACATTGTAATAATTGTTTTAATATCCTGACTAGAAATGATTCTAACAACAATTGTGCTAAGTATGATAATCTTTGTCTCTATTCTAAATTAAGAGAATATAAAGAAAATATTTTGATATTTCCGAATATAGATGTATATAATGTTATCTATAAATGCGAATTATTATTTCGCAAAAATGAAACTAACTTACTTAGTAATAAATTAAAAGTTAATGATTTTATAAATACGTTTTTAGACGAACATCCTGTAAGTTTCATTCCTTCAGTCACAATATCGGTTATAAACTAATAAAAAACTTTGTTATTACAAGAATTCATTTTTCATTAAAAAAGACAAGCAATGATCTTAAAAAAGCGGATAATTATAGCAGCAGAAGTGTTGCGATGAAAATGTCTGTAGCCAATAAAAAGTGTAAATAAAAATACTTTTTTATATAATTTATGGTTTTATATTCTTCTGCTACAAAATTCCTACAAAAAATTGGATTATAATACATTTTATACCATTGAAATTGCCGCGTAGCGTGGAGTCAAAATGGCGGCTTTTTCTCCCTAAATGCGGTACTTTGTAATCTAGTGACTTTAACGAAATTAATATGTAATGAACATAGGAACAACAGCGCCACCATGGTCCTTACTCAAGAACTAAAATATCATGACGCCATACAACAGATTGCCAGAGTCAGGCCATGGTCAAGCTGCCGCTGCAAACGCTTCGAAGCGTTTCTCCTCTCTTTCTATCTTTACTAAAAGAAAAGAGAAGAAGAATACTCCGTAACATTTGAAGCGACAGCTTGACCGCAGCC